GAACCAGCAGTCAGGAGGTGCAAATTTAGTTAAATAACTTAATTACCTGAAGGTTTATATACTTCCCAAAGAGGAATGTGACTACATGGCACTGGCCGAGATACAAAACCATATATTGGCTTGGCAAGGGAGACGGACAACTGAGGTGACATTGTCACTTCTCATGTGTTCATACTGTCAGAACCTGAGAGTTTTCTGTGCATGAAATTAATCAATTCCCTGTACAGCTTCATGTATTCCTCAGCATCACTGTGGTTTGACATGTCTCGTTTTGTATTTTGTGTGCAGTTGCCACTCCAAGCATTCTTACTTCCACCTATGTTGTTGGAGCTGTTGGAAATGATGTGCTCTTGGACTGCAGGTTGCCAGCTACCAGCATTCTGGCAAATATTTCTACTGAATGGTTTCTTTCCAGACCTTCAGAACTGATACAGATCATCTCCTACAATGGAAGAACTGGGGAAAGTATTCAAAACAAAAGGCACTGGGGTCAAAAAGAGCTGCCTCAATGGGTACCAAGCAGAGGTATCTTTTCTTTACTGCTAAAAGACGTCCAAGTCTCTGATGCTGGAATTTATATCTGTCAGGTGTCTTCTGGGAAAAGACAACATGAAGAAGCCTTTGAACTGGATGTGATATGAAATAGTCTTGTTTATTTCTCATTGCCTTGTTCTTCCATCTCAAATAAACTCTCACATTCTTCATCTGCAGAAAACAAAAGAGGTAAAGGCTGTTGCTTGCTTGTGCCTGACACGTAGCTAGCCACAGAGGTGCATTACCTCTGTTTGTTTCCCATGGATGCTTTTATTATCTTCTTTGAAATACCGAGTTATTTGCTAGAGTTAATCTCTTCAGAGGCAGCTCAGCTAAGATCAGCACCTTGCTCTTCTAAGTGTTAATTTCAACTTGATACATCCTGTTTTTCTTTTTCAAGCAGATATCACTATTCCTGCCGATGGCAGGTCGGGTTGGAACTAGATGGTCTTTAACATCCCCTCCAACTCAAACCATTCTATGTTGTATGTTCCATGTTCTATGTTCTAAGACCAGATATCTCCAGATTTCCTGGATTCAAATGCACAAGAGAAGCACCCCCATGTTAGAAGTAAGTGAGTAAATCAGTTTTGAAGGCCATTGTCACCTTGCTGGTGGTTACAAGAAATGACCCTTGAATAGTCAAAAAACTCTGAAAAGCAGAGAACAGCCAAGAGCGCAAGGAAATATCCACCAAGAGGAGTGTCAAGGAAGAGGAAAGAAGGTTTTGTTTAGGGATGCCTGCAAGGTGAATCAAACTAGAAATTCTCTACACAAGCTCATTTGTTTTTACCCTGAGCTGAATAATATGTATCCATATCAACACTAAACAATATCTGAGCATGGTCAACATGAGAGATTACTGAAAGGTCTATTTAGATTAACTTTGTGGTTGGGTAGTGACTGCCTTAAGTCATCCATTATTTTGCTTACACATGACTGGGACAATGGACAGAGCTGAAGTGGTCTGTGAAGTCATGGGAACACATGTTAACAGGGCTGTGTAGCTCTTGTGCACAGCTATGATTTGTGTCTTCTCTATTTCCAGTGTCTCTGTTCACTCAGTGTCCTTGTTTTGTCTGGGATAGAGTTAAATTTCTTCATGGTATCATGTGTGGGACTGTGGTTTGGATTTGTGATGGAAACAGGGTTGATATAACAGGGTTGTTTTAGTTACTGCTGAGCAGTGCTTACACAACATCAAGGTTTTTTCTGCTTCTCACACTGCCCACCAGCGAGTAGGCTGAGGGTGCACAAGAAGTTGGAAGCGGACACAGCTGGGACAGTTGATCCCAATTGTCCAAAGGGATATTCCATACCATATGATGTCATGGTGAGCATATAAATCTGGAGAAAGAAGAAAGAAGGGGAAGACATTTGGAGTGATGACATTTGTCTTCCCAAGTAACCACTACGTGTGATGGAGCCTTGCTTTCCTGGAGGTGGCTGAACACCCGCCTGCCCATGGGAAATAGTGAATTAATTCCTTATTTTGCTTTGATTGCATGCACAGCTTTTTCTTTACCTATTAAACTGTATTTATCTCACCCCATGAGTTTTTGTACTTTTACCTTTCCAATTCTCTCCTCATCCCACCGTGAAGGAGTGAGTGAGTAGCTCTGTGGTGCTCAGCTGTCTACTACAATTAAACCATGATGCTCAGCTATCTCATTAATATTTTTCATTGAAATATCTGGATGTGACAGAGGGGACAGGTTGGGTTTTTTTATATGCCTCTAAAGAGAGAGAGACCTTTCCAATGGACAATTGATAGTGTTAGGCTCATCACTTGCTCTGAATAACCCCTTGGACCAATCTATGTGTGGACTTCAGGAACAAATAATATTCGGGAGCTGCGGAAGATTTGTTTTATCAGGCTATGATGAGGCTGCTATCTCCCTCTGTCATTTAGGCTGCTGTGTCCCTCTTTTGCATGAGATAAGGTACCATATATGATCTCAGACACAATATTTTGATGCCTCAGTTTAGACAGATAGAGGTAGTCAGGAATTACTCCCTACTCTCGGTTGACTGTGTTGAGTATGAGCAGAATTTACCTGCCTAACTATAGATATGTACAGGTATTTCAGATGTTCTAGAAAGCTGGAAATGCCTATTCAGGCCTGACATATAATATAAGACCAATGGAGACCTCTCCATTTCTGTCATGGCAGATGGAGGCCAGCTGGATGTACAACAGTACCTACAAAATCACCAAATACTTCGTGGAGGCTTACTAGAAGGACAGTCCAGAGGACTCAGAGTTGCTGCTAGTTCAGCAATCTCATCTTTTGTTGTGTGGAGGATTGGAGCAGCGTGCTCCAGAGATCTCTTCTAAGCTAATTTACTCAGTGACTCCATGGTAGCTTTGTTTTTACCAGAATCTGGCCCACTGTATTTACTGTTTCTGAGGTGGATTAAGATACATTGTCATGGGAAGAAGAGCAGTGTAACCTGTCGCTACAAAGAACGACCTTGCTGGAGAAGTGACAAACTGCCATTGTAAATCTTATTTGTAAACAGGATTCTAGAAAGGATCTGGGAAACTACAGCACTGTCTGTCTCCCATCTGTAATAACGTTATGGACTTTATGATAAAGAATAAGAAATTGGAGGCATTGTCCTAACTAGAGAGTTGAAGGAAGACTCAACCTAGCTGAGCTATCAGCTTGTTTTTCCCCTGGCTGTTATGTAATGGATTTCAAGTGATTTGTCTGTTGGTTCAAGGGCATTAGCATGTTCTGTGTTCCTTAGGTAACAGTCTACTCATTAGTCATCAGGATTTTATATCCAACAGATGATTCATGTGGCAGAGTTCAGTTCTGTTCAGTAGGAACAAAACTACAAACTTACTTCAGCTAAAAAGAGATTTGCAGGGAAAAATGCCAGAGGGACCCAAAAGAACATGGGTCTTCCATGAGTCTTGTGTCATCTCTGCCAGTCTCAGATATATTGACGGGTCCGAAACAGCACTAGACATCTAAGTTCAGGCAACTTAATTGCAGCTTAGAACTCCATTAATTACAATTAAACATAGATATCTAGTTCATAATTAGACACCTACTTTTAAATCTTTGTCTCAGACTGATTCTCACCTTATGCAAAGACTTGTGTCATGAGACAATTGGAATAATAGAATGGTTTGGGTTGGAAGGGACCTTAAAAATCATCTAGTTCCAACCCCCCTGCCATCAGCAGGGACACCTTTCAATAGACCAGGTTGCTCAAAGCCTCAACCAATCTGGCCTTAAACACTTCCAGGGAGGGGGCATCCACAACTTAATTTGTGTAAAGAGACGATGGAGATGTAATATTAATGCAAGTCAAATCCTGGTTAAAAATTGACTCAAAAGTTACTGTTGACACTCATAAAAACCAAAATGGGTATTGCATCAGGCTCCACTGAGGTCCACACCTCCTGTAGCTATAATCCTGAGATCATTGAGGCAATGAGGAAGAAATAAATTATCTTTCACCTCCATGACGCACAGGACAAAAGCTGGGAAGCTTAAATTCCACAGAAAATAACCACGATCACCTCTAAACAAGGATCCTTCAGCATCCACTGTCATTTCTGTCTCAGGAGATCTCCAGCTGCCACTTCAGAAAGGAGCACATCTCACAAGATTTGTGCTGTATGAACAATGCCATGTAGACATATTGGATGCCCTAGAGAATCTTAAAGAGCAGTAGGTGTCTATGTTTAGTCAACTAAATTGCATTTTACCTGGCAAAAGGTGAGGATTCAGAGGATCTTGCAGAGCAGACTGCTCTACTGGGGATATTTATGCACTAGAAGAGCATATTACTCTACCACAAGGGTCCAAAGGGTGACAGAGAGATGTAGCACTGTATTAAGTCAATATATGTTGCCTCTCAGACTCTTCTTCAAGCACAGATGGAATGTTCTTCATGCAAGAAGCAAAGAGTAGACACAGTACTATGTTTTAAATTTCTCTGTTTTAAAACTTTTTTTTTTCTCTTCCTCCAAAACCTGGAGAATTCCATCCAGAAGAGTGATGGAGAGAGTTTACCTTTATGGGGTGCTGTGCATATGTTGGAGTGTGTGTATTGGAATTCATGACGTGAAGTTGGGCTTTGTGCATTAAGTACAAACTGCAGCAGTCCAGAACAAAGCCTCAGAGAATGAGAATCACTGAAACGCATTGTAAGACTGAAATTATTTTCAGAAAAAAAGACTCTACATAAATTGTTCTTGATATAAACAGATCATTTATCAAACCACGGCATGGGACACTTCTGGGTGCATGCTGTAAGTATTGGACAAAATGCATAGAGAAAAGGCTGGAGAAAGGAAAATATTTTAAGCTAAGGTATTAAACTATATACAATACAGAATGGGATTAAGAATGTGTAAGACATAAATTGCAATTAAGCACTGAATTTGTCTAAGAAAATAATATTGATCTTTCACGTCACAACAACATTATAATATTTTTTAAAAATTATTCCTCTTTAACTGAACAAATTCTCACAGTGGATTCTTTGTGTGAGTTTTTAAAGAAGGGATAAATTTCTTCTGAGAATATGCAGTCTTTAAAAGTGAACATCACAGACATGTCAGTAACATTGAAAAAAGTCAAAATTTTATCTTCAAAATTAAGGTAAACTCCGACTTTCCTGGGATATTTCTGTATTGCTAACCGTGTCCATGGATCAGTTCTTGCCCAGTAACATTTAAAACTTAAGCCCAGAGTCCAGAATCCTTCTTTAGGTGACAGAGACATTATTCCTTTCCTTGGAGCGGATTTTCTGGCAACTCCCAGGTCCCAATCATTGCTTTTTTCAACGTCCACCTCCCAGTAATGCTTCCCAGAGGAGAAACCTTCTGAGCCCAGCACACAGACAGATGAATCAAAACTCCCTTCATTTTGAGTCATTTTCTGAGCCTGTGATTTATGCGTAAAACTCTTCTTGTCTGCAGTGATAGACAAGTTTGGATGGGCTGTGTCCTCATCAACCTTGATGTCATCTACAACAAGTAGATATTTGAGGCTTTATAAACACTCCTTTAAAGCAAATATGCAAGAAGAACAGGAAATTGTACTGTATTGCATTTCATTCTGAAAATCTCCCTACAACTAGTCTAGAAAGACCTCTAAGCCTGGAGTGAGGAAGGGCTGCACTCAGACGTATAAATTACGCTTTAACTTCTGAACATTTCACTGACAAGTGAAATATCTCTATATCAATGGAATAAAAGGCATTTGTAGACTCACAATCCAGTCCATGCTCAGCACTGCTTGTGTTATATTCACAGATTTCCAGCCATTGAAATGGTTTGAAACAGACAGACTTACAGACATAAGTATATTATTTTACCTGCATTGCCACGAGCCTTTCTGAATTCTGAAAGCAAATAAGGAGGAGGGGAGGGAAAAAAAAAAAGGTAAGAAAAACAAATTCCAATAATTCACTGGAAAAATTTTCCAACTCCAAGTTGGGAAATCTCAGACAAAGTCTAAGGTTAAACTATGCAGGTCAACCCATATCCGAATTCCCTCTTGCTCTCTCAAGCCCTGTGATACCTGTGAGGTCTGAAGAAAGATCTGAAGCTGGGATATTTCCTGCTTGGGAACTACCTTCTCTCTCAGGTCCCAGTTCGCTGCCTTGCTGGCATTTCACATGGAAGCCCCAACAACCACCCTCTGCATTTCAAACCCTGTGAGATCCCTGGTCAACACCCCAGCATTTCCAGGAATAAAGAAAGAGACAGTCCTATTTGTGACACTTGGGGAAATAAAATTCAACCACATTTCATTAATTTCTCAGGCCGGGGTGGTTACAAAGGAGCAGGTTGGGTGAATTTTCCCTAATCCTCTAAAGGCAGGAGGGACTGAATTTTCTGGGTTTCTGGGTCTGGGCAACCGTGACAGATTTGTGCAATAGTGGCTGGGCTTAAAAGATAGAAGGATAGTGGAGAAGCTGTGGCAGGCAGAGGGTCTGCTATACAGACAAAGCTGCTGAGAAGTCAAATCAGAACAAGTAAGTATGAAATATTTGCCAGGGCACAAGCAGCTGAGGTTGTGCTTTTTTGTGTGAGAGATGAAAAGAAGACCCAGCACGTTAGGATCATGAAGTCCCGAGATGTGAGCTTAAGGGATTAGCTCAAAGGTAGGCATTTGTATGTGAAAAATGACAAGTTTTGGATGAATGTCTGGGCATGTGAACAGACAGGTATGAGATGTGCACCTGGAACTGCGTGCAGAAAAGGCTTTGAAGCCCCAGAAGTTCAAGTTACAAGCTCAAAATTCATTGTCCTGTAAAACAAGACCCTCTCTTCAGACTTTCCTTTTTATTAGGTTTAAGGGACTTAATTGACAATAACGACTTACCAATTTCTTTCCTCTGATCCACTGCAAACAAGATGAATGCACAGAAAGAAAACGTTACTATGGATCAGACATCAGTACTTGGTACCACTACAGAAGGACTCTGGATACAGATAACTCTATTAATACCAAAGTTCAGCCATAACCTGAAATGCCATTTTTGACCTGCTATTTCTAGAGTCACCGTAGGTTTCCATGCAATCAGATTTACATGACACTCACAGTCATTCCTAAATGGGCTCTTGTTCTTTCTATGCATACAAGGAGGACCTTTTCCAACCAGAAAATCTGAGATGCACAAGTTGACATGAGATAATCTTTTGCACATCAGAAGGCAACAGGCATAAAAATATAACCATTAATTAAATAATAAATAATTAAAGCTGGAGGTAACAAAAGGATGTTAGAAGAACACAACATTGATGAACAGAATCATTTGAGCTACTGTGAGTTATTCCCATGGACTTGGTTTGGCTTCATAGTGGAAGCAACTTCATGAAAATTCAGGTGACATATTGCCAAGGAACAGGCAGAGCAAAGCATATACAACTTCCAGTGACAATAAATATGAAAGTATATAGGCAACCAGAAAGACTCACCATCCTTTGCATGAAGGTTCTCTGCCAAGTCACCACGGGCAGCAAGAGAAGAAGACACCAAGTCAGGGCAAGAATCATAAACTTACAAACCAGTCCACTCTGGTTAAGCATTGTACAGAGCAGTCTCCAGTAAGTAGGCTGAACAATTGGCAGACAAGAACACTGAACACCAAACATCCACACTTACCAATCTGCTGCTGGAGATGTGCTGAAAGTCAAAGACACCATAAATAGTAACTCCACAGCAGTTTTGGTCAACGCCCCCAACAAAAAGGAAGTATTAAAATCCAGCCCACAACTAGTCATGGGGCACTGCCTTGGCAAAGACCAAGCCAGGTAGCATCTGCTGCCATGTTGACCATTGGGCACTGGTAGGGTCTCTCAATGTGGCACTTGAGGAGCAGATGACATTGCTGGAGAATCCCTTATCACCTCTCCCATGGCTTCTGTCCCAGCAGGGAAGGTCTGTGTGCTAGCAGCAGGACTCACCGTTCTTTGCACGCAGTTCCTCTGCCGAGTCACCATAGTCAAAGGAGAAGAAGACATCAAGTCAGGACAAGACCCACAAGGCCCTTGCAAGTCAGTCCACGCTGGGACTGTCCACCCCAGGGAAGGATGAAAAACTCCTCTGGCACAGTGGATGGTTCACACTACTTGGAGTTAATCCTCATGTGTCTCCACCTGGGATTGTTGCCACCAACCACAAACACCCACGTCTCTACCAGGACCCAGGGCTGGTCAGGGACACAGGCTCTCCACTCCATCAGCCACACCACAGCCTTCCCTCATGCTCCTGCCTGCACCAAAGCTTCCACCAGCTTGGACACCACCAGCCACCCACCATGGCCCCCCCAAATCTCACTTGTTGCAAGGGTCATGGCTGCCACTAGACATCCTTTCGCTGGGGAACTTTGGGAGAAGAAAGCACAGGGAAAGCAGGGAGAGATTGCCTCCAACCCAGCTGTCTCTCAACTTTCCTGACACCGGTCACTTTCACACTACAGGTTCTCCTAGCTATCTCTTCCGGTCAGGAGTGACTTGCCCTCCACTGTCCCAACTTGGCACTGCACCCCATGATCTACTTGCAGACAGGACTCACATGGAGACAGCAACACTCACCAATCTCCTTCTGGTTTTCTGTAAGAAAAGAGAGGGAAGAATGAACACCTTTCTTATCACCAGAATTCCAAGGAAAATGGGACAAAATCATTCACTGGGGACCATGGGAGTGACAGGAGCAGCAAAGCCCTCATGTCTCAAAGCACCATTTCCAATGAGATCTGCAAGAAAGACTTGACCCATGAGTTCTCAACCAGAAACAAGTGAGGACAGGAGCACAACATATCCCTCTCTCAGAGGGATTGCTGAAGGAACTGCTCCCACCAGGACTCTCTCTTTCAGAGACCTTCTGTGACTCTTTGGAGCCAGACCTAGCCAATGCTCCCTGCCTGGCTGCTAGTGCTGCACCACTCCCACTGTGGCCCTTCTTGGCACAGCATGGGATGTCTTCAGCAAAGCAGATTTGACCTCCAGGAACACCCACACCAGCCAGAGCTCCTTTGGGCACTGAGCCTTGGTAGCAGCGCACTGCTTCTACTCAACCACTGCTGCATTGTGTGCTGCCCTGTCTTGCAACTGTTGAGCCTCTGCAAATGAGGAGTATGGAGAAGGGAGATCAATCAGGGTTGCCCAGGAAGGAACTGTTCCCACCAGGACTCCCCCAGGCACAGAGACATGATGGCAGCACATTGCATGTACTCACCCTTCTCAGCATCTTTTGCTGTCCCTCCTTGTGTTTGGCGATTCCCTGCATATGAAGGGTAGGTAGAAATGAGGGAGATCAGTCAGGGCTTCCCAGCTTGGAGCTGCTGCCAGCAGCAAGGACATAGACTCCCTCGGCTCTGGGAACAGCAACATGCAGTCCCCATACTTGCTGAGACCCAGTGTCCTGCTACCCACTCCCTACACCTCATATCAATGTCCCCTGCCTGTCACACACAGTCTATATGGCTGCCACCTCCAGTAGCATCACAGCGACATGCCCTTGTTGGCATGTCAGATGCTGAGGGACATGGCACCTCCCCTCAACCAGCACCCAGTAAGCCAGAAGCTGGAGTATCCCCACCACAACCTCCCTGCACCCTTCTTCTGGCTCACACAGAGAATCCAACCTGACAGTTTTCTGCTTCCCAAGGGACAGTGTTTCCTTTCCCTGGGGATGGATTTACTCTCTTGGGACACCACTTCTCCCCTTGACTCAGCAGCAAGGACATAGAAGCTTTACAATGGAGCCCAGTCAGCAACAGGGCCCCCCAGTCACAAGAACATCCCACCAGCCCTCTTGAATGCACACTGGGCCAGAAGAACAGCCAAGGACTACAGGAATAGGACCAGCCAGACACTACCAAGTCTCCAGATGTGAGACTGCACCATGGGTAGGTAAGAACACTGAACACCAAACATCCACACTTACCAATCTGTCTCTGGAGATGTGCTGAAAGGCAAAGACACCATAAAGAGTAACTCCACAGCAGCTACTGGGAAACTCCCCACAAAAAGGAAGAGTCAAAACCCAGCCCACTTCTGGCCCCAGGGATTTCAAAGAATCAAAGAATCATAGAATTCTTTTTGGTTGGAAAAGACCTTTAAGATCATTAAGCCCAACCATTTACCTTGTAGTGCCAAATCCACCACTAAACTGCATCCCTAAGTGCAACATCTACATGTCTTTTAAATACCTCCAGGGACAGTGACTCCACCACTTCCCTGGGCAGCCTGTTCCAATGCTTGACAACCCTTTCGGTGAATAAGTTCTTCCTGATATCCAGTCACTCAAGGTGATCTACTCCATAACCTTCCCCGGCAGCAAGGTCAGACTGACAGGCCTGTAATTTCCCAGGTCCTCCTTCCAGTCCTTCTTGTAGAAGGTTAACATTTATTAAAATAAATAAATAAATATTAACATTTGTTAATATCCGGTCTACTGGGACCCCCCTGGTTAGCCAGGACTGCTGATAAATGAGGGAAAGTGGCTTGGCAAGTGCTTCTGCGAGCTCCATCAGCATCCTTGTGTGGATACCATCTGGCCCCATAGACTTGGGTATGTCTAAGTGGTGTAGCAGGTTGATAACCAATTCCTGTTGGATTATGGGGGCTTCATTCTGCTCCCCATCCCTGTGTCCCAGCTCAGGGGCTAGGTATTCAAAGAACAACCGGTCTTAAAAGAAGACTGGGCAATGGAGAAATAGCTTACCTGGTAAAATGATTAGAAGAAGTAAGATGATAATCCAGGATGAAGTACTGTTTTCTGAAAAAAAATGGAGAAAAAGCAATTTTAAAAAGTCATCCACTTTCTTGCAGTTCAGCACACACATCCACAGAGTGGCCATGGGGGTCACATAATCTGCACTATTCAGCCCTGGTCAGCAGAAGAACAGTTTCAGTCAAAAATCATTAACCTGGAAATATGATGAGGAACACAAAAATCTTAAAGAAAGCTAAAATGAGACACTGATATTTGCATTTTAAATTCACTGCCTTGTGTCCAAGAATTTTTCACATACACACACTCAAAACTGTATTTGAGATAAACTAGGAAATAAGATTTTTTTTTTTCCTTAGGAATTTTTTTGTTAATTTTAGTCTTTGCAATTGATCTCTACTTTTATTCAAGAGGCCACTTTCTCTGAAGTGAGCAACGTTATTCTAAGTTGTACCATGAAAATACTTTGGCTTCAGACAAGTTGACCTTCAAAGCTTTCACTGAGAAGGAATTTCAGAGGAAAGCTCAGCCTTAGCCTTGCTGCTCAACACCACATCTCAGGCAGAATAACCCTCTAATTAGCCTAGTGCCAAAGTCTTTCCTTAGTGGTACAAATCTCAGCAGCTGACAGCCTGAAGATGTGCCAGAACTTCTCTGCCATCATCAAAAAATAGAGGCTTATGTTGAGAAACAAGTTAGTTTGCACTTAGCTCAGAAGCCCACTGTCTTCCTGGCTTTC